GTGTGTGTGTGTGTGTGTGTGTGTGTGTGTGTGTGTGTGTGTGTGTGCTGGCATTCTTGCAGGTGTGTGTGTGCAGTAGAGCTGAAGTAGTGTTGAAACATTGCTCTGCTTCTATAACTATTCGCATTTAATATGACATTTGCCAGAGGTGCTATGATTTATACCTACGGTTTAAACTGTGATATGGAACTTTGCATATCATTGACTAAATGTTGTTCATGTTGTATGAACATATATAACAGTAGTTCTTCTGTGTGCTTCAATATGTTCAGCCATCCTGATCACCTGAAGGTTACTGCATCTTTTATGATTCACTTCATCTATTTAACTGTTAATGTCGTCATTAAATGCTTCACAAACTCTGGTTTTAGATGCTACACAAGTAAGAATATGTTAGTATGAGCTGATCATAGTCTGTGTGACCTTCCAGGCACAGCATTTCTCAGCATGAATTGTTTAAATGTTGTTAGCATGACCTCATTCAGCACAATGAGTCAGGGGTACAGTAATGGGGAACTGTATTATAAGCCTCTCCAACAACCAGGCACGTCTTTCTAACAAAGCTTGCAGATCTGCTCAGACTTTACATGCAGCGTCTCAAAAGGAACCTTTTAAAACACGACTCGTAGTGTCAGGGAATGGTGGGGGTTCACCACAAGTTAGACCAAAGATAGTGAGGGTACATACAGGAAGTCCACTTGTAGGAGGCCCCAAAGGAAATGCAGGGCAGGGCAACAGCATGTGGGCACTGATAGGCGTTGTTAAGGCACTTTGTAGGCCAAGCAGCAGGGTGAAGCAGAGAGGAAGGGGAGGGGGGGGCGAAGAGGAGGAGGAGGAGCCAAGGAGGGAGAGTGGGAGGGAAGAGGAGGGCCCCCGATATGTCCCGGGGCACACGTGTTCTCTTTCAAACCCTGTCACACTCATTTTCTCTCAAACACGCGGATGTGTGTACGCACGGGCGCACACACAGACACACACACACACACACACACACGTTTGTCCGTGCGCAAACAGACACACAAAGGGGATGAAAAGGGAAAGGTGCAGAGTGCAGGGGAGGGTGTTGCAAAGGGGAAACCCGGATTCAGATTTATTTCAGATGCTATTTTCTATGTGGAGGATAACATACATACACGTCTCATCTCTGCACCATCCCCTTAGACATCTCACACATGCGTACAAAAACAAAACCCATAAAAAGAGGACCATGTGCAGAAGGGCAAGAGAAGAAAATCAGGATTGATCACCGCATGGAGCTTTCTGTAAAACATGTTCCTAGACATTTAATTCCCCGTGCCTGGAAACCATTCCCGGACATTCCCATTCCACGGCAGACAAAGGCCAGAGTTCACCCGTGTGATGAGGGTGTAGTATAAATGTATGCAGTAAATGCAGCCAGACAGACAAACCAAACTCCCCCCCCCCCCCGCTAAAAAAAATCCGTCCATCACTCACCCACGCTCCCTCTCACGCAAATTGGGGGAGGGGTGGCCAGCTACACAACCGCCCACACATGCAAAAAAAACACGCATAATAAAAACACAACTCCACACACGACCCCCCCCCACACACACACACACACACACACATACACACACCAACAACATATTGTTTACATTTCCCTAAATCTCAGTCCACGTCCTTTCAATCCTTAGGCCAACCCACCTTCCACCTGAGCGCTCTTGTTCATTACAAATCCAAACATAATGATAAAAAAGGAAGATAAAAGGACACATGACGTGCATATAAACACACCTCTGCATATGAATTACGTCGCTCATTTGAATACTTCTCGTGTCAGCTCTTCATTAAGTCCCATCCCACACAGCCACCCAGGTTTCAGCCACAAAAGAGGTCTTTGTATATATAAAATAAAAGAGATAGTTTAAATAAATCAAGCAAATATGCACGGCTAAACATGACTGACAGAGTCGAGGGAGCCAGACGTATTTACTGCAAGCAGCTGGTGGGTGAAATTCATTTTTCAGAGCGGGCAAGATTATTATCACGTCCTTATTGACTGCATATGATTTACCAGCCACATCCTGAGGACAGATAACAGACAGACAGTGGACTCACACAACTCTCCTCCCTGAAAACTACACCGCAACATTATTCCCCCTTACTTAATATTAGCTCTTACACAACAGTTTTCCCGTGTATATGGTATGGGTTTATGAGTCTATGACTGTTTTTGGTAGGTCAAATCCTGCCTCCAACCTACACATAAACATATTGTTGTCCATTTTTGCAGATATTGGATGGGGTGGAGGGGTGGGGGGGAGGCTGTCTGCGAGAATCCTGTCATATATGAAGGGCAGATGGGGTTCCCTTCCTCCATCAGTCTGTCTGTCTTTACATGTACCTCTCAATCTCTCAACAGATGGACCCACGAGAATACTGGGACGCTCCTAATCTGCTGCTCTGCATGCACAACTGCAGACACGCACGCACACACACACGTAAACACACACAGAAAACACCCATATACCTACATTCTCTAGAGCCTAATCTGTTTTAGTAGAATACAGCAGCTTAGAGACGTTGTGCTGGGGGTAGAGTGGAATCTCTCTTGGTTGTCAACAAAGATCTCTACAAAACAAGAGCATCGCGAGTTCTCTCTACTTTAGAAACAGTTCATGCTTCTTTACTTTCCTCAGATTATGACTACAGAATATGTTATTCACCACATTAATGGTTCTGTGAAAGAAAGAAAAAAAAGCTTGGGTGTACAGACTGACCATATTGAAAAGGTATCTTTACACTTCCTAGGTGAGCTCCTTATTCCAAAAATGCCACACTTATCCACGCCATCAGAAAGATTGATATTGCCTCTTGCAGAACAGATAATGTGGTAATTGTCTCGCTCTCTGCACATTCCTCGTGAGTAGTGGTAAACATCTACTGTCAGCCATGAGGAAGACAGAGATGCATTCAGTAATATTGGCTGAAATATAGCTGGAAGTTATAGGTGCACTTAATCCAGGGGCAGACATGAGGGAGGTCTAGCAAATTGTTAATTAGTTTCAGAATCAACAAATATTCCATTCGTAAATTAGTGTGGACAATTGTATATAGTAGTTGTATAATAGTTGGGTTTTTTCCCACATTTGTCCATTTCTGCATATGATCTCAAACGTAACATTATCTCATGTCTCTACAAATCAGAAAATGTTCATGCGCCGATTACCCAGATCAGACACTGACACCGTTAAGTGTGTGGTGTTGACAGTTTTAAAAAATCTAAACTTCAAGGAAATTGCACGCCCCCTAAATCTGCATTACATCGCAGCTTTCCTCTACACGCGCGATAGGATATAAATACCGTAAAATATCATATAAACCGCAATCCATTGTTTGCATGCACGTAGAATTCGCAGCGAGATCCGGGGAGCCGCGCTGTGAGCGAGAGAGTCGAGCCTCTCAATGTACGCTTTGTGACATTAATTGCATGAAATTATCTATGTAAATTCAACCGTCTAGCACTGACAAAGAAAGCCGTGGTTGCAAACTTCTGTCAACCGTGTTTGTAAAGCAGAATGTGGACAATGGCAACTTTCTGTGTAGAGTGCGGACATTTACACGCGGGTTGAAGATGTTTTTCCTCTGCAGATCGTGCACGAGTGCATGCCTTTATATCAGTATTACACAACAGAGCAAGTAGGCATCGGGTACCTGCGGATAACACACGGAGACTGCCTGTAAGTACACGGCGAAAGTGTTAATTTTGTGGTTTCCCCGTTTAAACGCGCGGTTAACCCTGTATAGACCGATCGCGACATCCAATCAAACAAAGGAATGGTTTTATTTTAAAAATAGATATGTACTTACGATTTTAGAGGATTATGAATGACAGTCGCCATTTTCCTGCACGACTGTAACGTAATATTCCAAATCTCGGTGTAGTTTGGGACCCTAATGAAAAAAACACACACACAACAGCCAATGCGGTACTGGGCACTGTGCTCGCGACCAATACAACACCAGCAGTAAGGCAGTGGGCGTGGCCTCAGAGTAATCTGTCAACATCAGTGTCCCAGCTCACAGAGAGTAGACTAGTAATAATGTCATGGAATAAAATGCATTTGCCTTTATTTTAATGGAGACGTCACAATGTGAAATAAGAATATCATAAACCATGAGCTCTGTCATGATGCTCTATGTAGTTTTGGTTTTATTTTAGGCATTTTGACGGCTGTGTGGACAATAAGTATTTATTTTTGTGATTCATTAGAATTAGGTGTCAGTAAAAGAGTTTGTAGAGCACACGTGTTGTGTTAGTACTTTAGAGTATTTATCATCATATACAATAAAACAAATCCCTAAATGATAATACTTATGTGTGACTGAAACGTTTACAAAGAAAACAACCAATGAATGCCTGCCACGTCAGGCACTATTGTTAGCGACCAGCCAATGACTGACATTTGAAGGCGGGACAACATGGCAGGAACTCAGCAGCTAGCTCAAGAGGTGCTAAAACCAACTGTAAAATCAGTTTAATAAGAAAATAAAGCTTGTTTATACTCAACAGAAAGCGTGTTTATTAATATATTAAAACCGTCTTTACATTTACTCATGTTTAATGTCCAGCATTACTTATAAAAGTGTCGAGGAAGATGTGTAGTTAACGTTAGCTCACAAAATGCTAATGACTACAACTTGCTAACTTGGCTAACAAGTAAACATGCTGCTACACACGACTACAAGTAGAAGTTAACACGAAAGACGTGGCGTGAGGATCCTCACTTGTTGATTCAAGCACAAAGGGATGAAGAAGTGGAACTGGCGAGAAGGGCAGCGACCGCACAGGCGACGAGGTGGATGGTACAGAGGCAACCGACAATGGTCAACACAGGACGAACAGTGGTACGTTAAAGGAAACATTGAAGTTTAAAACAATAATGTGATGTGAGCCTCATTAGTCAATACTGGGCAGCACAGGCAGTGTTTGCAACGTCAGTAAGAGTGGTGTTCTGTTCACAGCTCTGGACATAATGCACGGCCACCATTAAGACCACCTCAGAGGAGATTGGAAAACCAGTCCTCATCCTCCTCATCTTCCTCATCATCGTCCTCCTCCTCCTCTCAGACCAGCAGTGCTGCGCCAGGTCAGTACCAACCCTCTCTATAACTAAACAAGCATAAGTTCTCTGGTGCTGAGTCAACAGCCATTACACGTAACAAGCACTGTGCACTTGTTAGTCAATGACAGTAAGTTATTTCATAACTGCAACACAAAATCCTTTTACAGTATATTGTTATGCCATCTGTAAACAAGATAATAACTTTTTGTTCATGCTTAATTCAACCACCCGTTCTGTTGCCAGAGCTGCCTGGTTTCTACTTTGACCCAGAGAAAAACCGTTACTTCCGCCTGCTGCCCGGACACAACAACTGTAACCCACTGACCAGAGAGCAGCTGCAGGAGAAAGAAAGAGAGAAACAGAGAAACAAGATGCTTGCAGAGGATGAAAAGCCCAGAAAAGTGGGTTTGTTGTGAGGGGAGGTGGGGGGGTAATTTTGCTCACCACATGCTTGGGTTTAATGGTGGGACATGTATGATCTTCTTCATAGAAAGCACCAAGAACAGGACTGAACACTTTGCTGCTGCTGCAGAAAAGACACCTCGGCATGTTACCTGAGAACTCCTATTGCAGGTACTGTGTCACACTGCTGTGTGCACATGCACTCATGGACATAGAGCTGAATACCCACAGCTGTAATACATTCCAGAAATCAACCCCAGGAAAACAGTGACTTTAATGATAATCAGTTCTGCATGTGTAGAGTTTTCTTTGGAGCACTGCTGGGCCACTAACTATAATGCAAATCAATTCTGACGTGAGTTTGAAAATAGTCGCAGTCAAAATATTGTGTTGTCTGACACTTTCAATTATGTTGATACAATTCCCGGAGACCGGAGAGGAGGTGTGTTAATGATTGTGGTCTGCGGATGGTTGTAGTTGGTGTTTACGTGGTTACTGTGTGTCTCCAGGCTGGTCCATGAGGTGAAGGTCAGTGGAATGAAACGCCACAAACTGGAGATCCAGAGCACGGACAACAGCAACCCCAACACTGACAACTTCAGACTCATAGTGGTGAGAACATGGACACCCAAAACACGCGAGGGCTAATACAATATTGCAGTCGTAGTAGAGGCACCATATAAACACATTGTCTTCTTAATTCATCTTTCTCAGGGGGACTCTGCATGTGAGCGAGTGTTCACAGTCAATGACGTCTCACACGGAGGCTGCAAGTACGGCATCATGAACTTCAGCAGCAGCAGCCGGGGATCTTTGTCTGTGGAAATGTGCGACAACCTCTACTTCACAAACCGCAAGGTGGGAGTGTTCTACAGGAGCCGGAGCGGTGACTCTTTTATTATATTTAGATAAGCTAAAGGTTTTCTGCTAAATGTGTTTCAGGTGAATTCCATCTGCTGGGCCTCGGTCAACTACCCAGACTCCCACGCCCTGTATCCTTCAGCGTTAGTAGTGAGCTTAGTCAGCATGCATGCCTTTTAAAAGCAAACTATATCAGACTGTATAAGCGAGTGCTGCCTGTATATCCCTTGACGGAGCTGACTGTCAGGCTGTGTCTGGTCGGAGCAGCAGACACCCCCGGCTGCGTCAGTTTACTTCCTGCTTCCCTCTTCAGCAACTCCAACCCAGGTTGTACTGAATAGTCTTCTCAGGTTTCTCACACTATTTAAGACATTCACAGGAGCCTACTATATTTAATTACTTTGTCTGATTTTAACATAAGGCTTTTTATTTAAAATAACAATTAACTACAAACCTTTTTAGTTCATTAACTCTGAATGAACCTGAATTTGTAATGTACTCATATGCCAGCAGACTGAAAAAGAAGACATACTTCATGTTGGCATTGTTTGTTTACGACCCCATTATAACATTTCTCCTCTCTCCTCAGACCAGCCCGGGATGCTGTGTAGCTTTAAGATATCCTCAGCCTGGTCTTGTGCTTGGTGCCTCAACCCCCAGTTTGACAAGACCTTCAGCACCGGTCCGTGCATCCATCATCATTTGTCTCGCAACGCATGATCAAATACGATATTCATAATCAAATGACCATAATAATTGGCTTCTGTAGAGCCCTGAGTTTGTTGGCGCGGCTGAAGTCTCTTATATCATACTCAATTTATTTGGGCAGGAAAAAAAGCTACAGCTTGCTTGCTTTGGAATACATAGTAACCTAGTAGATTCTTTTTTACGATAATTAAAGTAATATATTTGCTCTTCACAAATTTCTATATCTAAGATATGTGTTTTCGCATGTGTTGGCAGGCCTGTCTCGTAGGGTGATAGTGAAAGATGCAGAGACGGGCCGAACGCAGACGTACAGCACCGGCAGCGACGTCTTGGCTCAGCAGTTTGCCCATCGGGTGAGTCATCTGTTGCATTACACAGTGATTGAGTTCACTGTTAGCATGTAGTATGGATTTCTCTTCAAGTGTGACGGAGCACAATGTAAGAAAGAGAAGAAAGGCCAGGAAAGTCAAATGCCTGCTCGTTTCACCCCAGGTCCCTGTGCTGTTTAATGGTTGCCGATCAGGAGAGATCTTCAGCCTCGACCTGCGTCAGCGAGGCCGCAGGGATCAAAGCTGGAAGGCAAGTCGCTTCCATCAAGAGTCGGCCATCACCTCCGTACGCGTCCTCCAGGATGAGAACTACCTGCTAGCTGCTGACATGCTGGGCCAGGTCAGCTTTATTTACATTTTTTTAAAGAGTGGGTCATACGCCAGAGATGGTGCTAATGACCCAAGTAGAAAAAGAAGATAATTAAGAAATATATTAACCCACAGGGATTTTATTATTGCCATAACTTTGTCTGTCTTCTTCATTCATGTGCAGATTAAGCTGTGGGATGTGCGAGTGACAAAGCCAGTACAGGAGTACAAAGGGCACCACAATGAGCACGCCTACCTTCCCATCCAAGTCAATGAGCCTGAGGGGCTTTTGTTGGCAGGTAGGAGACGCATCGTGCTTCATCAACATACTGTAAAACAATTGAGCTTTCACAACGTTCACGGTTTAACTGACTTAATCAAAGGGATACCAGGTTCAGAGCTACTCTGCTCGTGAGGTACTTAGTGTAAGTCAATACGAGCTTCAAGATTGAGCCAGATGTAAAGATTCACTACAGCCAGACGAGCTGTTTCAGAGATGGTTTGAGAGAACCGAAGCTTGCCAAAGATGTCTAATGTCTCTCCAACTCATTTTGCATTTCGTCCTTTCCCCAGTCGGTCAGGATTGCTACACAAGGCTATGGAGTCTACAAGATGGCCAGCTACTGAGGACTATCCCATCCCCCCACCCAGCTGCAAACGACCTGATCCCCAGCGTGGTCTTCTCCTCCAAGTTGGGCGGCTGCAGGGGGCTCCCTGGCCTCCTCATGGCCGTCAAACACGACCTTTACTACTTCCCATACAACACAGACTACCAGGAAGGAGGAGAGCAGCCGGGCCGGCTTTTAGGAAAGGACTGAGAATTCTTCATCTCGCTTATCATTTTCTTAAAACTCCATGGGGGGTTGTTTTTGTTGCCAAATTTATGGATGGAGTTATATTTCATAGAGGGATTTTATAAATGAAAGGGTTTGGCCAGTATGACCTCAGAAGAGTAACATTGAAGTCTCAGGGGAATGTTGTTTGACCCACTTGTTTGTGCCAAAAGGAAATAGAAGTGCCACATACACAAGTGCACACAATGACTAGTTAAGATCTCTGTAATCTTTACAAAAAAAGTGCTCTTACTTATGACATGATTGACTTTGATTTTTAAAGTGATTTAGGATGTTTCTGATCCGAGTGATAATACTGTAAATCAAAACATTTTCTAATTGCTGTTCAATGACAATTCTATTTAAAAAAAAACAGTAAACACTGGTCTATTGCATTGTATTTGCTCCTAAATGACACACACAGGCTGAGTTTCTGCAGTTTAATACATACTGTATGAGCATACATGATCATAAAAGTATTGATTTGTTCCTTGTGACATTCGTTACATCTCTTGAAATAGGAACAATGACAGTTCACTGATTCAGGTTAGTGTTTCAGCTTATTTGTTGCCAGAAAAAACAACCCAGGTTACCCATCCCGACAGTCAGCGCTCACAATGCCCAGGTGTTCAGTCAAAAGCGTCACTGCGTCATCGTGTGCGTTTGTCAGATAAATGTGCAGTACAGTCTCAAACGTGGTGCTACGATCTAACTAGCTACTCAGCCTGAGTTGGAAGAGTAACAGATTACTCCTAGCTTTTGTTTCCCAGTTTGAGGGGCCAGCCTCAAAGATGGCTTCAAGTCTTTTCTGTACCATGATGCTACTGTGAGCCAGCCACTCCTTAAAAGCCGTTCCTGTTGCATTTCATCCCAATGCAGTCAGATTTGTAGATATATTTTTTTAGTAGTTTTAACAATTTAAAAAACAAATTGAGGCCATTTAAAAAATTCCCTATAAACTTGTGTGTACGCAAAATCTAAACAATGTGGACAGCCTTACTAAGGCTGCTCTATTATCTGCCCATTCAAATGCACAAACAACCACAAAGTATTGAGGGATTATGTAAGAAGTTAATACGATAATGATATAAGTTGGAATGTCTCTCGGTGCTACAGTACATCAAAGGCTTCCGATTGTTCTAAATCCTCCTGAAGCTAAAAGGGCGGCAGAAAAGTTAAAGCTTCCAGGGCTGAAGGAAGGAAAACTGGATCCATTCTAACAAGGATCAGAAACAATCGTGATAGATCTCGTTGCAGGTTTTCCATCGATGAATGCGACACCCAGGGCTCCTGCAGAAACATTCTTAGAATAAAATGCTTACCTGGAATCAGTCCTATTATTAAACAGTTCACACATGTAGCCCCAGACTACAAAAGGTTCTAACAGTACTAGTGTGTCACACTGGGGAGGGATTGTCAAAGGGGTTCATGTGCATCAATACACATTTTAAAAAGGATCAAAAAGAGGTCAAATGGAAATTTACCTGAACTCAAATTGTAAGCAAGCGGGTACAGTACTCCCTTTCATAAGATGCAAGTTCTTTTATCTCACCTCCCTTCTTGATATTCAAGTCTCACTCTGACTGATATTCTTCACAGTGTAAAATATAGGCATATTAAAGTGAAATAGCGTCGGAAAAACAACAAACAAGAGTCCAACCTGCCACGGACAGTCTAGTGGCAGCCAAGGAATGCCACTAAAGAGACCAAAGGGGAACGGAAGCATTTTTTCCGCCACATGTCAGAAATGTTGACAATTCCAGTTTTCACAGAGGCCGGCGCCCTCGTCCTGCTAAAGCTCCCCGGGTTTCTGGTTGCAGCCGTTGCAGACCCTCACGGGGTGGTCCCATCCGCGGGAGGGCACGGCGCGCCGCTCCTGGGAGCAGTCGTCGCACACTCCCTGGCCACAGGCGCGGCAGTGGTGGATGGAGAGCCGCGGGGAGAACTCCCTCTGGCACTCGCTGCAGGCGTGGATGTCCTGATCTGGGACCCAGTAGGCCGGACGAGCGGCATCCTTCACCAGGCCTGGACGCAGAGGAGAGGAAGCAGTAGTTAGAGCGATGGTTTCAGTTACAAAAGGATCTTTGTCTTTATAATGTGGACGGATTTCATGCTCACCGAGAGGTATGTCGATGGCACCGACTACAGCCCCTAAAGTGTTCTGAACCACCTCCCCAACCTTCCTGGCTATCAGGGTGCCTCCCTCCTCCTCCAAGGCAGCGTCCAGCAACTCTGCAACAGGGAAGCATGCACACATCAAAACCAGGAACTCACACGCTGATAAGAATCACATTCAGTAAAACCATTAAAACTGACATCACATCGGACATTAAAGAGGGATTTACCTGTTGGGATTCCCCTGTTGTGGAAACACGTCTCGCAGACTCGGACAGGTGCGAGCCCCCAGCCCCTCTCTGGGACCGGCCGGGTTTTTGAGGAGCAGGACTCACAGAAGCCCTCTCCACAGGCACGACAGTGGTGCTTGGTGTCATTGGGCTGGAACTCTTCCCCACATTTATGGCATTTCTGCAACACACACACACACACACACACACACACAGGATGACGTGCGAGTTTACTACCAGTTGTCACACTGCAGATGTAATTCCATATAGTCTAAGTCGGCTGATTCTAGACAATCTACCATTTAACTGTTACAAATGCCAAATACGTGTAGGAAAAAGGCTAAACCTCGGTGAAAAAGACTGAGCTGTGGACAGCGTGGACTCTTTTTTTGTAAATTGGTAATTTCCCTCACAGTGTTTGTATTGTCCTCTAGCTGAAGTGCAGTTTTAGTTACGCACCAGGATGAGAGAGTTGGGCTTCCAGTAGGTCGGAGCGATCTGGTCGGTAAGCCACGAGGTGACTGCTTTGGCAGGCTTGACGCTGAGTTCAGACACTGACTGAGAAATGTATTTGACTCCATCCAGCAACCTCTGGGCGGCGTTGTTGTTGTCTTTCAAAAAACCGTCAGACTGAAAAGAAGAAGACGAGAGGAGAAGAACAAAGTAAAGATACAAACGAAAACAGTAGTGGACAGACTTTCTGTTGTGCTATCCAAAACCACATTTTGCATTAGTTTCCTGGGCATCCACATTCAACCAACGGGCAAGAATAATGACAACATTCATTGGAGTTAAAACCTTTAAAAAAAAACTTGGCCTGAACGTTTTGTTTGATTAGGTTAGGCAGAATCTCATTGAGGCTGTTCCACTGTGGACTTACCCCAGGCCAGATGTGCTGGATCTCTGTTCTGACCACTGTTTCCACTGGGTCCTGGTTTCCATACCAGTACTGCCTGCTTCTGTAGATCACTGCACAGTTGGGGCACTCGATTACATACCTGAACAAAGACAAAAAAAATAAATGGGTCAGAAACAGTACCAAGGGGAGAGATTATAATGCCTCTTGGTGTGTATAGCAGAGCTGCAATACATTTTGTCTCTGCACTTTCTGTTGTTATAAGTGTAAACGTGTGAATAGTTCCAGGTTGATTAAAAGGGTTCATCACACTGTGCTTGCAAGAGAACCATTTCCAATCATCTTCCAAACGGCTCTGTGGTAGCTGGACTCACCCGGACCAGGCGTAGATGGCCAAGCCAAACCACGGTGAGTCAGACGAGGCTGTCGTTTTGGGAACCACTATTACCTCCTTCCCTCCCTCATAGCAGGCCTGAGAAGTTCAGCACAGACACTCAGAACCTCCTTAAGCAGGTACACTTCAACACATACACGTGTGGCATTCTGGGCTTGTACTTGCCTTGCAAGTGTAGATGCGGTTGTCATACTGTGCAGAGTAGCGGCAGCGATGTTTGGCTTCGTGGTCGAGTCCTTCTTTTAGGTGATTCATGCTCCTCTTACAGCCTGAACTGAAAGTCAGAGACAAAGGCCAGGATTTTTAATGGATAAAGTTGATTTTTTTTTTAGGGTGACTGTTAACATTTTTAATTAAATACTCTTCATCATGGATCATGCGATCGGTCGTGTGTCCGTGAGTGAGTGAGTGAGTACCCCTGTGTCTGTCCACGGCTAATCTTGCATTCTGCTGCAGCAAACTGCCTTAAATTGTATCTGACCAGTTATGGCTGCATGCTCAAGAACCTCTCATGGTTGCGGTGACTCAGACTTTCTCAAAACAACTTTTTTTTTTGCCTGTTTTATACTGCCATGGACTGCCTGCCGACTCCTCACTCTTACAGTGTTTGGCTAACTGCTAACAGCTAACGGAACTACCAGTACACACACACACACACACACACACTGCTGTCTCTCGGCGCAACTCAGCCACTGCTAAGCGGGCAGACAGCTTGGTGAGTTTAATCTCGAGCAGCTTGCCTGCATACATCGCTGCGTGTTTTACGACGCCATTGGTGTCTAGAAGGGGAATTAGACAGTAGTGGGTTGTGTTCATTCAGTCCCACGATAGAGCGGTGGTCATTGCAGAGACACCGGGCTACTGAGTGCACTTTGCGAGTTAGAATATTGTCATTAATTGACTTGGCTGACATTCACTTTTTGTCCTTCTATCAAAAGCTTAATTTCACTAAAAATAATTGGGTGAAACTAAGCCAGCCTGTGTGTGACCCATGGAGAAATAAAAGGGCACTGCCCAGTAGAGCACTGTAAGAAGCTCCTACATTAACCTGCAGAAGATAGCTGTGACATCTGAGAATGTTTAGATATCTTCTTTGTAGTACCACTAAATTCTAATTTCTACATTGCTGTTAATGAACTGCAAAGGTCGCAGTGTGCAGAGGGACACGTACCCACAGCTGAGGCAGAGGCTGGAGCAGGTAAAGTACTCATCGGGAAAGAATGAGTTACTGGCCATGTGCTCATCTGAAATCTCCCCGCTGAAGCGCTCGCTCAGGGCCTGAAGGAAGGAGCCGGGGGAAGATGAAGGGACAGGAAGAGTCAATAACGTTCACTGTCAATATTGACATTAACACATTTGTAGTGTATAAACGCAAACGCGTTCTTTCTGTGCCACATTAGAAAATGTCCATAGGCGTGAGAATAATACCTGCAGAGCCTTGCAGATGACGCTTGCAGAGCGTGGCGAGCGGGTGGTGTTGTTGTCCAGCTGTTGCTCCAGGCTGCGCAGCAGACCGCTGAAGTCTGTGGGGGGGTTGTAGGTCCGGGTTCCACGGTACTGGATGGAGCTGAATGCTTCTGGAAACAGACCCAGCTTCCTGAAGCGCTCCTGGAGAAGACGCTCTGCCGATTCGGATGGTTTGTCTGGAGATGGAGAATAAACGGAGGCAGAGATGGACAGAGAGTGGAGGAGAGAGAACATGGGATTCTTATGTCAGTCTTGTTCATTTTTGCAGTCCAAAAAATAAAAAAGGGAGTGACTGACGTACCTGATCCTAGAAGCTTGGTGTGCACCGTCTCATGGAAGATGATCACAGCAGGGCCCAGAGTGGACAACGGGACGTCCAGACCACAGCGGGTGGTAGTCGCTTTCAGCTCCCTGGTGAAATGTTTCAAGTAGGCGTCTGATGCATCACCGAGGAACTTGAAGAGGTCATCGTGGAGGCGGTCGGCATGGGTTCGGTAGATGACCACATCACAGATAGCCAGGACTTTGAGGAGCAGGCGTGTTCGTTGACCTTGATTTGCTCCTGGTGAATGAAACCACAGTAGGGTAAAAGGTGTGTCCCCCTACCTCTGTTTATTTCATGATATTAAGCTATTCCATCGTTTGCCCCATACCAGCCCCAAGCAGTCCTTCTGTGTCGATGACTACCACGCGGTGCATAGGGTCCATAGCTGCCCACACACCCACGGTGCAGGACTCTTGGGTGGGGGAGGTCTTGAACACTTCACGTCCAAGGAAAAAAGTATGGTTCAGGGTGTGGGACTTGCCCTCCCCGGTGTTTCCAAAGATGGAGACCACTTTGAGGAGCTCATCTGACCTGCAGCCCAGTCTGCTCACAAAGTCCTCCTCATCCTTCACCTGAGAATCCACACGAGATCAGCCCCATCGTCACGACATCTCAATAACAAGCTGCTATTATATCAAATGTATTGCAACATGCGACATGCATTTACCTGCATCTCCTCCCTCTCGTCCACCAGAAGGAAGCTGCACACCTTCTCCAGCTCGGCTTTCAGGATCTCCATCTGTGACTCCCCAGCAGTCTCGCTGTTGTCCTGGGGCGCTTTGGCAGGGGGGTACGGTGTCAGAGGGTGCTTCCTCTTGTTGACTCCACTGTGGGTGCGTTTCTGGCAGTCCAAACACAGGTTGCTCTTACAGCCCTGGCAGCGCACCACTGCTCTGAGCCGCCCGCCGTTGACGGAGCAGCTGCTGTCACCTTTGCACGAGTCGCAGAAAGGAACGTGGCCCGGTGCAATCCGAACCCGGTCGTGATTCCTCATCCGCTCCTGGCGATGGAGCTCCAGTTCGCAGCGGGCGCACTGCAAGCTGCCGCATTCATCGCATTCAAACGCAGCCTCATCTGAACCCCCACAGGCGTAGTTCTCCTGACAGCCCAGGACCGCGTTCATCCCTTTATCTGCAGCCGAACCTTGACCACTCATCTCAGGTCAGGTCAGGTCAGGACGACTTAGATTGTAACAGCAATTGCGGCAGAAGACGAATTTATGGTGCGGTCAAGCAAATCTCTACGACCAGATGTGATGTAACGTTAACCTTGTTGTTCAAATTCTCCAAGAAAAAAAAAGCAAAAGTCATGCAATACTGTTAGAAAGCAAAGTTGCTATTTAAAAGTAGCCCAATACAACAACAACAAAAATACGTTCTGAAACGCAATAAATAGTTTTATCTTATCACTCGAGCCACACAAAGAGACACACTTGACACTTTCAAAGAAATAACAAAAAAAAACATTCGTTTCAATCGACTGACCTAGCAGTTGTTGGAAGAGTCCGACGGACGTCGACTGCCTAAAACGCTGCCTCAACACAGTCTAAAAGCGGACACGTATACTGTCAAACACCGCCGACTGCCACATATAGCTAACGTTGAGAAAGTTAGCTTGCTGAGCTATTCTGTGTCGGTCGGACACCCTGACGATGTTGTTGCTTTTGCACCAGCTGACTGGCTTGTTTTTATCGAGAGTTCACAGGTCATTTGTTTTTTAAACATAATGCATTCTGGGAAATGAAGGATTTGGAGTTTTCCAAAGAAAGACGAGGGATTTTATAAACTATTGCGTATGCATCTGATATATATACTAATTTATACTCCTGAAACGGTTTCTAAATATAGTTTGGTGTTAGTTATCCGGCTAATTAAACAAATAAAGTGGATATATTGACAAAATTCTAACCTTACCCATAATGCTTTGCAACATCTCATCCGAACAAACCGTTGTAAATAGCGAGTGCAGCTAACCTAGCTATTTGTCCTGGGAATATTCAGTATTTTGCCGTCACGTTTTGTTCTTATCTTATATGTAACTGGAGAGGTTTAGTTAGCATTGTATGTGCATGCATCATTTCCCACTTTATCTCTTCATATGCGACTAACCTTGCCTGTTCGCAGATAGCCAAAAGCTAGCTCAATGCTAACCTTGTTCTGAGTGTTAGCTGGCTAAGCTAACTGTGTTCGAGAGCTTTACTTTTTCCTCTGCTTTCCATCGTTTTTGTTGCTCTCACGATGGAGGACGAAACCTTCACTGATATTAATGGCAAAGCCATTTCTCTGGACTGTCGGAGTCACTCCAGCCTGTGCAGGGAGTTCACTGTCAGCGTCCCCAAAGTGTCCATCGGTAAGGTGTTGGTGTTCACCTGCTCTGTTTGGCTTTTGGCATACGCCGTGTTCTTCTTCACAGAGGTAAGACACATGAGTCGTTATGTTAACGTACTAGCTAATTTTCTTTGTTTTTGAGTATATAAACTTGTTACACTGAACAATGTCTACATGTTGAATGCCTTCTTTCTCTGTCTCTCTTGCAGAACACCGCTGTTCTGTCCAGTGCCATATTCGTCACCCTAGTTGGCATGATGCTTTACATCCACTTTGTGAAGGTAGACCACGAGTCCCTGATTGTCATCCACTCCTTGGGCATACAGCTGTCCTCCAGCTTCGCCTCAGGCCGTGAGACCACCTCGTTCATCGAGATGAGCAAGATCAAGGATATCGTCATCAATGAAGCTATTTATATGGTGAATAAGGACACTTGTGCCTCTGTCACGTCATTATTTTATATTATATACTAAAGTTGTGTCAGCTTATGCTTTTGTAAGAAGAGTGCGTTGATGTGTAATGCTTTTATTTCAGCATCAAATCATCTACTACCTATGTGTGCTGTTGAAGGACCCATCAGAACCTGATGCAGTGTCGAGTGTTGTGCCTTTGTTTCAGGTGAGGTTTGACTGCAAGGTGTACGCGTATCCCATAATGCAACTTGCTTTTGGTGTTTCTTGTTTACCTCCTGTATGAAGGCTTTTAATACACACGGTGTTATTTGCAGTAACCTGTTTCTAATTAACCTTTTTTTTTCTCAAATTTTTCAGAGTTCAAAGCCAAGGCTGAACTGCTTGGTGAAAGTTTACAAAAGCTGTCAGGAGATTCTTTCAAAGTGCTGATGACACACAACTCATACATACGTAATGTTTTTCTAGCCATGCAGTATGGTTTTAATATTTCTTTGTTCAATTAATTTAATTTTAGTAGATAGAAGCAGAAAGCTGGTAGTTTTTCTTGATTTGATATACAGTGAATTTTTCACAATTTTCCTCCTTTTCTAACCTGTATCAATGTGAATGTAATCTGTTGAATACAAAATCAAGTTTAGCCATGTTTTAAACACCAATATTAATTTAATAATAACTTTATGTTGTACTTTGTTGTGTAGTTACTTGAATAGCACTGGTGTTAGACTACTTAAACCTAAAGAGCCAGACCGTCTGGCATCGACTTATTTATACATTTAGATTTTAATTTACTATTTATGCCAATGTCTGTATTGTGCAAGCATTCCCACACTGTATTTTTGATAAAAATAAATTTGTTATAACATAAAACAATCAATATTGTTCCTAAATTATTTGCTATCACTGGTAGATGCCGTAAGCTTTGGTTTAATGTTTTTGGGGAGCTTTATTTTCCTTCCCCAGTAGGGGGCAGCACCACACTTACTCAAGCTCATATATTGGAAATTTGATTCATGAATCAGAAGAAACCTGTTTTTTTTGCCCCTGTATGTACACAGAAAACTTTAGAAAATACTAATTAAATGTGTATATATATATATGTGTGTGTGTGTGTACAATACATTTTTATAAATAAACATCCACACCTTCCTCAAATATATTTTTGCTCCCTCATAACTCACAGAATTTCGGCTCTTAGAGGCAGTTGCTCACATTTACCTCAGGTGCCACCTTACTTGAGACTTTACCAGAAATGTTACTCAAGGTTACCTCACTGAACAAACAACAATAATGACGTCGGTAGGATCAAGTTCAGAATGAGTAACCATACACTTACACAAGGGAATGACTCTAACGGTTTGATAAGGCCTTAAACTATAAGTGCTGACCTGACACTCCTTTTTCTATTTTAACCTTGTTAAGCTGTGATTGGAACAATTATTGTCACCCTAAAGAAGTATTATGCAACAAAACACGTCTTGTCTCAGATCAGCGCTCTGTGAAGAAGTTTATTTTCTATTTTGCATAACAACCAATCGAAGAAGCACTTTCTTTTGATTAAGGAGCATTGTGTCCAGTGCTTACTGTAAAGTGACACTAATTGAATTAATTGCTATATGGTTATATATATTTAATTGATTGTTGGAGCTACATGTAATACTACAGTTTTCATAGCTTCCTGTACGTGTGTCCCTGTGGGACTCAACAGGCTCGCTACTGTCTGAAATTCAGACTCCCTCAGCATGATCTGTAACTTATTTTGATTGTTTGATGCTTATGTGAGGACAGTATAAGCATATGATGTGATCACTGCTTGGAGTAAAACGTTTTCCTCCTGGTTGTAACTAATCTATAACAATATGTTTGAACGTTTAATGGTTCTCCATTGCCCACAGTTTAAAGTTCAGAGTACTTGTTTTCACCACCACTCGGCCTGTTTACCCCTCCAGGCCTTGTTTTTTCCCCCCTTCTAATTCTCCATGACCATCTGCAGTTCCCGGTCAGAGCCGTGCGTGAACTCCGCGCTCCACAGGCCAACAAAACAAGCAGAAGGGTGTGATTTTCACGGGGCGAAGCGTTACAGTGCTGTGAAGAGTGGCCCACTGACAGGATAATAGTCCCTCCTGGAGGTGCGAAACAGCCAGGGACCAGGCGGAGGAGAAACCTGGGAGTGACCAGGAGTGACACCTCGGGGCCTCTGAATAGGCCTCATAAACAAGCAAACCCCCCCCCCTGAGAGTAAATCATATGTAGTGCAGAGGATTGGCAGGCCAAAAACACAGTGAGGCTTTCTTCAGCTAGAGGTGTGGACTTTTAATTGCCTTTGTTTGTAATTGCACATTTACTTTTGTGCAGTGTCCCTGTGAATGTGTTGAACTTTAAAAATACACAGCAATAGATGCTGCCTTTCCTGTTACTGTTGTTTTGTTGTTTTGTTGTAGTTCTACGCTTAGCTAAACTAAGCTAACCAGTTGATGGAGGTAGCTTTGTATTTACGGTACACACAACTTTGAAGTTTCAGGTCTTTATTTGTCATGCACAACAATTACAGTGAAGCGTTTGCTGGCAATGAGATTATTGTTCCCAGGCTCCCTCCAACAATGCTACTACGAAATGTATAAGAGAAAAACACAAAAGTAAAAATGAGAAGAAAGTGCAGACGTTAAACTATAGGAACACAGTTTAATATATGAAATAGAATAAAATAAAATATTAAATAGAGAGGTAGACCGGTGTACAGAAGTGTTCAAATTGATAAACTAATATAGACAGAATCAAATAAATATACATATAAACTTTGGTGTGTGCAGGTATAAACAGGAAGTAGAAGTTTTATCAAGGTAAATCGTTCCAGATGATGCCATGATTCTGTGTTGTATTGTTATTCTCGTGTATTGAGTTCTTGGCTGACAGATGCGGAAGGAAGGAAGACGTCATGGCATGGTTTGAAATGTGTCCGTTTATCTGCTCAACCTACCGGTCCATACAGGCAGGTGTAACTTGATGTCAGTTTGGATTTGAATCTCACAAAATCCCTCCCTGCCTCACTGGTATCGTCAGAGGGAGTTTAGCATGTCACTTCATTCTCCCTCTTCTGAACACACGAATACAGTAAACCATCTTCTCCATGTAGGATTTTAATTCTATCGTTAATCGAGCATTTTGTTTTGCTTTTTTGCATTTTGGGCAGGTAACGTTAGGCTCCAATCAGTTGACTTTTTGTCACTAGAGCTTTCCTCAGACACTAACTGCAGAACCTTATTGTCCTTTTCTCTAAAGCTCAAAATGTACTTGATCACCTCTCTGTCCAAATGAATTTGTGGACAGGCTAATGCAGCCTCTGAAAGAGAAAGCAAACCACAGCGGAATAAAATACTCAAATAAGACACAAAATAAAAACCATAAACATTTTTCATAGATTTTCGACAACTCACATTGGCATTTACAGGTGTGCAAATTTATAGAAAACAGAATCTACTCAACAGACCAAACTAGACTGTGTTCACATTAATGGCATCGGAAGTGCAGATAAGACTGAGCTGCAGGTCGAGGGATAAGCCTGGTCTGCTGGGTGGCATTTCAGAACCGGTCTTCTTGGCACAAAGGTACACTGAAACTCTCTGAAACCTTGTTGGTAACGTGATCCACATTAAAGGTGCATTGTAGATGCTACAACTCTTTGATACAACTGCCGTCTTGTTTCCTAAAACATAAAACTGGGTGTATCTCCAGCAATGTTTGTGTTTGTCTTAAATGGGTACTTTGAATAAACGACTCAATAACTGTGGAATATTCAGAGAAAACCATGATCGGCATTTGGAATTAATTTAATTCGTGTGCGTAAACTATGTGTTGGTCAAACTACAGACGGAGACGCAAATCCCATTGCGTTTGGGGAAGAGCGGTTTATTACTTGTTAAGGACCCAAAATCAAAGTTTAGGACTAGAGTGCAAAGACTTGCTTGTATGTATTGTTCTATATCACTATATGTTTAAAGACTTTGGTCTTGTAATCCATCAACCCGTTGGACGTTTGCAACCAGCGTGATTCATAGTTTTCTTTCTTCAAGTGAACATTTGTTTGTATTTGCTCGAGGACCAGTTCCCTCACTGGACAGGAAAGTCCGGTGCTGCCTTCCTTCTGTCCTCTTACTGGTGACAATGTTGAACCTCAGCGTTGAGGCTGCCAAAACATATTTGCCCACGCTTTTATCACCTCAAGCAGCCTGCAACTCAGTTTAACGACACTGTTGATACAACTCGGTGATCCTGTTGAACATTTGGCAAGTTGACAGCCAAGCTTCCTTCTTTTAAGTTTTTGAATTAGTCTGTTTAAATGCAAATGGTCGAGCCACGCCCTCGCAGCGTCACCAGGTAGATGTGAGGTAAGTGAGACTAACTTCTCGTCTGACCAGCTGGCAGCGGATAAGAGAGCGAGAAGCCTGCTCTACAGGTCTGTCAGGGGAGCTGACAGCAGGGAGCTGCCTGCAAACACACATCCGCTTTCTCTGTTTGTCGCCAGAGAAAAAACCCCTTGAGCCATTGTAATAAGTGTATGAGCGTGTGGTTTAGTGTGTGCGTACGAGGGCAGGCCTAAACTGCCTTATTCAGATCCTCTGCTCGTATTTGTGCTTATATCATTCTGGAAATAAGTGATTTGATTTTCCCTCTATTGTCTGTGTGTGTCTCCAAATAACATTGCTCTATTCCCACTCCCAAATCAGTCGTATGCCATTGCTGTGTGATGACAGCTCCTCAGTTTCTTGACTTTCAGTGGTGCCGCAGTGTCTGTGACCAGTGATTGAGTCAGAGATAATGTTGTTTGCATAAAACTTTAAAGGCAATGAATTAATGAAAGGGCCGTTAATAAACAAATGTCACTTTATTAAAGACGGTTCATGGCGGAGAAGCAGACCACAACACAAACACCATGTGTGATTGTGCTGGTGCTATAATTCTTTTCCAGAAGCTTTATGTCTTAATTGTGAATCATCCCAGCACTGAAAAACTCCCCAGACACCTACTAATGTAATGACAGGGATGTTTTATCACGTCTGATAATAGATAGGCATTCACAGATATGTGCGTCAAGGATAAGTGCAGTATGCCCGCTCTGTAATCAGCTGTTGCAGAGATGTGAATTTTGTAGATGTTATGTCACTTGTTCAGAAATAGCCACACAGTTTCCACATGCCGAAGACACGCGCTCCACGCTCGAAATGACATCACCTGTAAAGACAATGGCCGGGACAGATGAGGGAGGATTAGAGTGCAATCACGATGAAGATGCAAGATAGGATAATCGTACTGTAACCTGAGTTCTTTTAAAAATCTGAATGCGTTTTACATTGTCAACATGTAAAATGTGCTCCTTCGTTGGTAAATGCAACATGAAAATGATCCACCATAACTAAAACAAATTTGTTCTTGTAGTGTCGATTTAAAGGACAAATCGGTCTAAATCAACACATAGGTTGAGGAAATACTCAGAGTTTTTTAGACCTCATTTGCAGCTCATGGGAAAACCTTTGGAGGTACATGGTGTGGTAGAAAGATTTATTAGACATGAAGAAATGTATGAATTGTGCATTGTCACAGGTTTGGTATTTTCAGAGGCCTTTACACTTGGCATGCTTAATGTTGGAAGTCTCTGGTGCCAAATGTAACAGATAGGATGGACCTTGTAGATGTTCCCCGACTCCCATGCTAAATAGTCTGGACCAAGGCTTGCACATTGTTTTGTGTCATCACTGGGATTCTTGGTGGTTCTGTGTGACGCGGGCAATACTGACAGATTGTATTGTTGATTTAAGTTTGTGGGTTATCTGTTTCCATGTATACGTGCTGTCCCAGGATCTGAAGCATCCAGGGAATGGACCATCCCAAATGTATATAACGCATATGTGAACTCTCTCTATCCCACTAAACATATACTCTACACGCAACTGAAAGAGACTTATTTATGCATAGCATAGCAAGACATTAGCTATTAGTTTTGATCAGTAAATTTGGGGCCAGTCAGGTATGTTTTTTGTTTGCAAAAAAG